AAAAAAAAAAAAAAAAAACATACGGGTCGAATTGAGAACCTCCTCCTTTTTTTGAAGTCGGTTGAAAATATGTATAGTATGGTGGATGGTAATTTTGTAAGGGCCAATTTTTCCATCGCCAGATAACTCATCTGAGAAATAACTCAAGAATTTTTGACAAGTCTTCCATACTTAAAAACTGTCAAATATCAATTTTATTCTTCTGACAGTTAAGAGATGATTGTAAAATCGACCCTAAGATTGGCACAATTAAATTTTTTTCAAGTAGAACATTCAGGACCTAGTCTTATTAGCTTCATTATTAGTTTACCGGAAATGTCTATGAAAGATAAAATAAAGAAAACAAAAATTGAAAATTTCGGTAAGTTTTAATAACAACAATAAGAATAAATCATCAGATATATAAATGTATACTTAAAACTAATGATTATGAAATAAATATCAGGGCATTGACCTCACAGACATACTACCGAACTAACAGATTACAATGATAAAGTCCTAGAACACAGACAAACATACAAAATATATTGTCTGACCTTACTTAGCATACAAAATTGTATAAAATAAGTTACATTTTTATACAATTTTCGAGTTATTTCGATTTTGACACTTATTTGCTTAAAAGTTATCTAAGTATAAATTATTGGAAGGATCATTATTTTGTTTATTGTGGTGTAAATTTTAATTTTGTTTTTTTTTGTCTTGAATAGCAACCGAGTTTCAATTCGAAGTGAATGATAAGATTTTGTTAGTTTCTCACACTACAATGGTTCTCTTTGCCAATTGCTTTTTTACTTTTAGAATAACATATCCTCGCAATTATCCATTAAAACATTCGCTACAGTGCGTTGACAGTACTTTTGGACATATCATAACCATTTTCTCGTCTAAAAATAACCATGTTGCCATATACATAATTCAAATTTTTGGTAATATTTTGATTATTTCAGCCTGGTTATGTCCTGTATATGTTGATGGTTTAGTTGCAAGTGGCGTCGGGGTGTCTCTCGAGGATCATGGCGACTCCCTGTCCGCCAGCGGCGCAAGCAGAGATTACACCGAACTGTCCATCCTCACGTACCAGACGGTGGGCGGTGTGCATGGCGAGACGGACCTGGAGAAACAATCCAAAGTTACTAAAATTGCATTTGTAAATCTACGATTTTACTTACTAAGTTACTAAAATTTCTAAAGTTACTATTGCAATTACTAAAGACGATTTACAAAATGCAATTTTACTCTCGAATGAGTTAGAAAACTTTTCCATAAGAAAATGGGACATAGTTTACCAAGACAACATAATTGTAATAACTGTTGTTGTTACTTGTAATAAATTATTTAGAACTGGTATTTAAAATAATGTTAGACTTGTAACTCACCCCAGTGGCAGCGAAGGGATGTCCGATAGAGAGCGAGCCGCCCCATTTGTTCCACTTGTCGAGGTCGGGAGCACCCACCTGTAGAGATAATAGCAAGGTATAAGACACTTACAGAGAAATAAGTAAAGGCGATAGATTCAAGTTGCTATAGGTCAGTTTTATCTTCAATTTTGCACCTGTAACCTAGATACCTGGCTGATCTACTTCTTAGTAAGAAGTTCTTACAAACACATGAACAACTGTATATGCTAAATAAATCATAAATTATGAACTAACTCACCTTAGTCTGACGGCCGAGATAGGTCTGCGCGAACCAATCAGAGTCCATAGCCTTCAAGTTGGCCAGGATTTGACCCTACAAACAAAAAGATAGATAGAATCTGATGATAAATAGTTCTGACGAATGATCAAAACTATTTATCTGGCATGTAATTCCATAATAAGAAAGTAGCCCAAACAAGTTCAATATATTTGTTTTCTTCTATACTTTTTTTCTTACTACAGTCTATACTCACAGCGAAAGCCTCATGGATTTCCCAGGTGTCGATGTCGCTCATCTTGAGTCCAGCTTTCTCCAAGATCTTGGGGATACCGTACGCGGGTCCCAACAAGAGCTGGTCAACGGGATCCTGTGGGAAAAGGTTACCTTGGAGTTTGTAGCTTATTCTTCTTCACTTTGCAACAAGCAAATATAGGACAGACAAATAGAAATACACAATAACCTTAATAAACTTGGAAATAAAAACTAAACTGTGTTTTGCTTGTTAGATTTGGCTACCTTAGTACCCTGGTTTGTCAAACTTACTTAGTACAAGAGCCTTAGTTTCATAAAATGGTAGTATTTAGTAAATATATTGTTATCTAAACCTTATATTTATTACCTGAGCGACGTAAGTGAAGTCACGCAGGTACGCCTTGGGCTTGAGGCCGAGCTCCTTGGCCTTAGCCTCTGACATCACCAGGCAAGCGGACGCTCCGTCAGTCTGCAAGGAAATAAATATTATAATAATTAATTATGTATTCGTTATTTATTCATCACTCGCAAGTTTGCCTACTAAGCAATTCAAAATCTTTGGATTCATATACTTTACACATACATTCGTTTTTTGATATTCTTTTTGTATTTCTACAAAACATAACATAACATCACGCCTTTTATCCCCGAAGGCGTTGGCAGAGGTGCTCATTACGGCACATAATGCCACAATGTAACACCTATTTTTCACTATTTATGTTATGAGTCCCATGTAATAGGGGGTGAGCCTATTGCCATATACACATTTGCAGACTCCGTGCTACTACTGAGGTTTTTACAAACCCAGCAATACTTTTCCCAACCCGGGAATCGAATCCGAAACCCCTTGGCCGGGTCCACACCGACCACTTGGCCAATGAGGCAGTCTGTATGATGTATTTCTAAAAAACTGTAATAAATGATCTTACTAAAAAATCCATACAAGAAATATCGGGCGCTAGAGATTTTTGACAAAGAGCTGTTAGTTATTAATTTCGGCTGCCAATAGAGCATCTCTTTAGATTGTAAAGAGATGTTCTTCTAAAATTTACTTCTTTCTCATGACTCACCAAGAACGAAGCGTTAGCAGCGGTGACGGTGCCGTGTGGCTTGATGAAGGCAGGCTTCAGCTTGGCGAGCTGCTCCGGCGTCGACACGCGGATGCCGTTGTCCTTGTCCACCACGCCGTCCTTGCCGTCAACTGGAGAGTAATCATAATTATGTATCACTGGAGATCATACTATCATTGGGTACGCAAGGTTTGATATTGATTCAATGATTCAATACACAGACAGTAACAATGTTAAAAGGCCTTTGTTAATAAGTATTCAAATTGCTACTGCCTTCTTACCAGTCTTACCAGTGCCTTTAGCCAAACGCCACTTTAGCGCTTGTCTACAGAGAGAGTAGAAATCAAAATGTATGGGGATGACACTGACAAGTGTCAAAATCTACATCAATTCCATAATTATAGTTTGGTTCCTTTTCTATACTACAATGGCATTTGGCTACAGCTGCTGTATAGAAGTTATCTTGGTAGACAAAACATGAGTTTTTGAGTAACAACTACACAAGTAAATTTGACCCATAGAACAGAAAGTAAGTTTAAAATCGCAGTGATGTCATATTTCTGTATTTTCTTAAGTTAGATAGGGGTTCTTCCTCTGTGGTTCGAAACTAGTAGAGCTTTTCTCAGTATATTCACGTGAGTAACCCGCGATTTTTAGTTAATTTAGTATGTCATTTTACATTGTCCTAAACAATACAAATTGTTCGAAACTAGAAACAATATTTATTAAAAGACAGTTACAACAATTCAAAATTAATTAAATTCGAACAAGAAAAGAGCGTATTTCTTTTTAATACAGCAACGCACCTGTGACACCCATGGCGTTGCGGGTGTCCAGCGCTGATCGCTTACCATCAGGTGATCCATTTGCTCGTTTGCCTCATATTCCATAAAAAAACATTACCTTTAACAGGGATCAGATCAGTGAAGTATCCCTTGCTCTGTGCGTCCGCGGCCATTTTATGGGAGCGGAGCGCGTAGTCGTCCTGTTCCTGTCGCGAGGCTCCGAAGGCGGCCGCCAGACGGTCCGCGCTGTGACCCATCGTCTCGCCTGATGAGAACTCCGCTACTGCTGGTAACTGGGAGACAAACATGGACAATTTTCGTATTATAACTGTCATGCAACATATTTTTTTATGGGATAAGCCGGTAACCGATCGGATGAATCACCCGATGGTAAGCAATCGGCGTCGCACATGGACACCTGAAACGTTATAAGTGCGTTATCGGCCTTTTGTAGATTAGGAAATTGAGGATGATTGGGGATTCAGGGATTGGGGAGATTGGGGAAGAGGGGTGGGGAATTAGGCCTCCGGTAACCTCACTCACACGATAAAAAACGTCGGTTTTTAATTGAATTTTAAGAAGCAAAAAAGAAATAGATCGAGGTATATAAAAAAACAACATTTTGCGATAACTAACTGCGCTGTTGTCTGCGTGACGCCGACTACATCGTTTTTCGCATAGTACTGCTCATGCTTATGAACCCCACCATGGTTTGAAACAAATCGAGTTATCTTAAAATTAATTTTAAGATAATTCTTAAACAGTAGGTTGAGATATTGCAATCCCGTCAATATGTTTTCGGCGTAAAGTAAATAAACTCACCTCAGGCGCAAAGAAATCAGGTCTAATAGAGGCGATGAGGGACAGTCGTTGCGCGGGAGTCTTGGCCCGGTTGAGGCGCAGCAGTAAGGAGCGCATCTTGCGCGAGTGGCGGATGGGCACGTCCGACATGAACTCCACACCGCCGGCCACTATCACGTCGTAAGCTCCAGCAGCTATCATGCCCACACCTGGGAAAAGTCGGATAATGTTAAAAAGGATTTTAAGGTTTCTTTTATGGGATATTTTTTTACGGTGGGAAAATCATAGAATGACTTCTCCCGCCTGGGTGAGGCGGAAGGGGGTGTCAGACTCTTACTGACTAAAACCACCCCGTTCCTGCTCCTGCACTTCGAGACGGAGCCCCGGTAATCCGTTAGGTTCTCCCCGGCTCCGTATCGGCATCAGCCCTATTGGGCCCCATCCTTGGTGGTCTAATGGCTCTTTGAGGCGCGCGCGGACCGCGACGCGCCTTACGCTCGGGTCTGGTTCTGGTCGGGCGGAGAGCCACCCATGCTCGCCGTCCGCAGGCCTCTTTTTTTTTAAAATAGGGGGCTCTTTTATGGGATGAGATGAGAGCCATTTTTAAAAGATAGATGGTAAACGAGCTGACCGGTCACCTGAAGCCACCCCTCGACACAGGAAGAATTACAAATGTGTTGCTAGTCCCCCCTTACCAGTAGTAATAGCCTGGTTGGAAGAGATGCAGGCCATAGTGACAGTGTGCGCAGGAGTCTTGTCACTGAAGCCGGCCGCCAGCGCCGCCTCGCGACCGATGTTGGAAGTCTTCACCTCCTGGATCACGGTACCATATACGATGTAGTCGATCACATCCTTTGAGATACCTGTCTTCTGGAGAAGACCCCTGGAACAAGAATGAATTGGTATTGAATTTCTTAAATTTTTAGACTGGGCCTAAAATCGGCCAATTTCTGATTGGTACAGGCTCAGTAATTGTTTCGGGTGAAGTACCGTCTCACCCTCCATAGGATACCCAACTTTTTACTAGTCAGTTGCGCTTTTGACTCTATATAGGAGCCAAAGTTGAGTGTGAGCAGTATCAGTTATCGGAACGGATACATTCCGGAAAGTAGAAGTCAGCGGAAATTGACTCAGATTGGCGGGGAACAGACACGCCTGGGTTTTCCTAGCATTAAACTTGACCAAGTTGGCATCACCTCAGTCGGAGACCGCTTTCAAGGACGAGTTCAAACACTCGACCATGGATTCTCTTAGAGGCCGGAACTGTGTTCCGCTAGTCCGCGCATAGACATATTTATAGATCTTCCAAAGTCCAAGTTCATTGATGAGAGTATTACATATTTTAGATAATCATACATTGTGTCTGCCCATATAGGTAGAGGTACATACCGCATGCTACCATTAAGGACCATGCCAAATATCTATGGAATATTTGAAACAGTATACAATTGGCAAGCTGTTGAAATTTCTAACTATAGGATGATATCTTGTGACAACTACTTGTACCAAGTATTACCACATATTATGAGCATATCTCCATAGTGATACCGGTATATTCTAGTCTTGTCTATTCTAGTCATTGTAAAACACTATGAAAAATTGAAATGGTAGAATGAATCCTTATTAATATTATTAAATGTGTAAGTGTGTTTATTTGTCTTATCACATTTCTCTAGTATTATATTAATGGTCTATGATCATATTCTATTTGTCCTGATAATATAAACAAAGCCATTAACATAATCTAGTTAGTATTTTTAATTAGATTTTTGTGTCTGGAGATGGAGATAAGCAACTTATTTTATTTGAGAAACTAGTTAAAAACTATTACACAATACAAATAAGTCACAAAATATTTGAATAACAAATTAAGTATCAGCTGTCAGCAGAGAATTACACTTAGATATTAATGCCATTTATTTGAATTTGCAGAATTAACTAAAGGTAATTTTAATAATGTTCATAATATTTAATTATTTAAGCTTCATGCACAAAGTGTACATAAGGTGGACTTAATGCCACAGGCTTATACATATATATATGTACTTCGTATTTGTATAAGTATCTTCCATTGTAATATTCAAACACACTAGGACTTTCTCCTGTGTCGTGGGTGCGTTTACAAAAATACAAGTTCACATACACAATGACACCCAGACCCGGAACAACAGTCTGTCGATCACACAAAGGGTTATTCCGTGCGGGAATCGAATCCGCGACACGTTGCGCAGCAGTCAGTTGCCCAACCACAGCGCCAACTGTGCAGTCGTTCTGTCATTACAAATTCTTAGTAAAATGACAGAGATGGCACGATATTTAAGCCAAGGACACAAATGACCTACGACATGTATCGGCAACATGTCAAATGAAGTTGCCGATTTCGCCCGACATAATATAAGGCGAAAACGTGCGACTTAAGCCCACAGCTACGTTGATGTTGCCAGACATGTCGACCAAAGTCCGGCAACGTCGAGCTACTTCACCCAACGTCACTGGCGACACACGTCGCATGACATTTGTCCCCTAATGTAGCCTTGGCTTTAAGTATAATTAAAAATTAAATAGCCTTTCAGTATTCAGGCGTTATAATCATAAATTGCAATTTATTTACATATTATTTTAAATTGGCCCCATGTTTTGGTTTTTTACAAGCATACAATTCACATCCAAACTTGGTGCAACTATTTGTCATATTTTGTAGATAAAGAAAACTCTATCGATTAAAGAAGTATGAACTAAATTAGATTACTGTGATGTTATGAAAAAAAGCGTTTATCCAACAGTTGCACAATTATAGACTGACGTAGATAGATTCTTCACACATCAACAGCCTATAAACGGCCACTGAGAATCAAATACTTCTTCTCGCATTGAGAAGATTTGAGCATTAATCACCACACTTCCTCAATGTGGGTTTGCAATTTCAAACTTACAATGGGGATGATGACAGGGTATGAAAATTAAAAATATAATTAGTCCGTAAGTTAGGTAATGAAAAAATATGAGACACGTATTTTTTTATATTGTCGTATAATAAAACAATACTTAGATAAAACGAATCAAAGTTCAGGAGTGGGGGCTAAAACGTCATTACTTAGTATAAAATGTACTGAGAAGTGACGTCACACGACATTTCAAATCAATATAACTTCGAAAGTATTCGTTTCCGTAAGAAAATAAAAAATACGTGTCTAATTTTTTTAAATAATCTACCAGACGGACATTTAACCTTTTGAACGCCAGAGCAAAAACGCATGAACTTGCCCTCAACGCCAGGCCACAAATTCACCGCAAATACCTACGAAAAAAATAGGGATTCCAAAACTTCATCGATAATCAATTTTATTTTCATTTTCGTCTTTAATTTCGAAATATAATGTCCTTATAACATTGAAATTTAATTCAACATTACATTTCTTCCTATTAAAGTAATAGTTATACACTATTTACAGACTTGTATAATACCGTAATAACAGATATGAGACTACAATATATTTAAATATAATAACTGTAGGTACAACACTGCTGTCTTCATATTGTGACCATGGCGTGGACGGCCCGCCATTTTAATAACTACTTCGCTTCCGAAATAAGGATGTGGCAACGTAATATCTCGTTTATCGATGTTCTAGTACAATATTATTTTATAATAAATGAAACACGTTTTTTAAATCAGATTTATAATTCCGAATGTAACAGGTACTTAAAAATATATGATTGAAATAGGTTAAGAAGGTAAATAAAAACTATGAAAAAATAGAAAATTTTAATAAAATGTTATACAGTATGTACTATGTATACATGTTTTTAAATATTAAGTTCTATAAACCTGGCATAAAAAGTAACAAATTAAAACAATTAACGATTATATATAATTATCACAATTACCAATCAGTCTTATACTAATAAATCTTTTGAATAATAGAGCAAAATTATACAAAATCTACAATGCAACCTGCATTCTGAACTCTGAACTCGATATCACAAGTAAATTAATCATAAATATTATTCATTCACTTCACTAATTTCTGGTCGCCGCGCTTGTGACGTCACGATATTGTCGTCTAGTCGTGACCATGGCGTACAGGGTACTGATAATTCGGGTTGCGTTAGGGATGCGCTCGAGTTGGGATTAGTGAATATCGAAATTCGACCCAACCAAATTTTATTTTTGACTATGTAGCTTATTGAATGATTTTTAAGACTGGTTTTATAAAATTAATGCTGCTTTATCCTAGTACCAAATTATACCTAAAATAATATATTCCAGAGGAAAGTTTCGCATCGATCTTTGATTTAAAATAATGATATTATCCAACATGCGCTACATCACTAGCGGTCACGCATTTATGACTCTGGCGTGTGAGGACATTCTTTTTTCAGAGTTTATTTCTTTCTTTTTAACGTAAAATTTCTCAATATTTATAATGCAATTTAATTAGTTTTATGGAAATAAATAAATTTTGGACCTTCTATTTTACAGGTATATAAATAAATAGGCATTAAAGTAATGTTTAAATAGTTTATTTCGTGTTTTAATGTACCGCTGTTTTTGTCACATATTTGTGTCGTTGGCGCTCAGGGACAGTTTTCGCTTGTCACGTATTTGTGACCCTGGCGCTCAAAAGGTTAAATAAAAATTAGTCATCTACCCTATTAGAAATTATAAGCCCAGGTTTCCTCACGATGCATTCCTGTCAGTTATGTCTAGAAATATTATAGTTATATACTGTTGGAAGGTTTTAAACCTGCATCCTCATGCATGAGAAGCACGCATCATAAGCCTTCAAGCCAACATTAGAATCTTACAAAAATATACGAGTAATTACAAGATGCTATCCATAATCTTATAAGAATAACATTACTTGTGTGTGTACTGTGTAGTATTTGAGTATGTGTGTATGTAGCATTATGGACTTTGGTCATTCAATTATTAAAGTCAGCTTACATGGCAATGTGTATACAGCTGATATTGTTTTATAAACATGTATATACCTGTATCTATATAACTGAAATTATAGTTAAACTAGCGAACCACCCCAGTTTCGCACAGGTGCAAAATGCATGTATTATACATATAAACCTACCTTAAGAATCGCTCTATCTATTAAAAGAAACCGCATCAAATTCCGTTGCGCAGTTTTAAAGATCTAAGCATACATAGGGACAGACAGATGGCGGATAGCTACTTTGTTTTATACTATGTAGTGATAAACAAGCTTCTACCAATGGTTGCATTCGCATTTCTGTGGGATAAAAAGGCCTATCTGTTATTCCAAATTCATATCTACACCTGGTCCAAATTTCATCTCAATCTCTTCAGTAGTTTTTATGTGAAAAGCTATTAACACACACACATATATCCTCACTAACTTTATTAATCTGTATTTGTTTTAAAAAAATGGCTTTCTATTTTCCAGTCCATTGTCTAGGTCCATTATGCCTGATGAAAATAAGTATTATAACTACATTATCATTATACCTAAAAATCTTATACTATAATTTAAAGCTGAAGAGCTTGTTTATTTGTATGTTCTAATCTTTGGAATTACTGGTTTGATATGAATGAAAAATTATTTTCGTGATGGATAATCTATTTATCAATGAAGGCTATAGGTTATAAAACATCACACTATGGTCAATAGGAGCTGAGCTAGTCATAATTACTACATGAAGATATAAAATTAAAAATATTCATCATATTTATAATAATGATTAAGAAAAGAATAAAAAGAATAGATAATAAAATGTGTGTATAGTAGTTTTGGAAACTAATAGACAAGTTACAGTGACCTTAAAGTCAAAGTCAAAATCATTTATTTCAATTAGACCATTAGATTAAATATTAAGTACCTACTTTGACGCAGTATCCTTCCTAAAATCTTTTACAGTAACTGTGTCAGAGATTTTTATATTAAATTCACTAATCATAATGATTTTTTAATTTGATTTTCAAACTACTGTATGACTTGTGCAAGAATAACACATTTACACTATTTATTTAATTAAACTGTCAAACACCAAGCGGTCACCGGTGACCGCAACCTATTGTTCTATAATTGTGTCTACAAAACCGGTACTCGACGAGTTAAATACTTAGGTAATATTTGAAAATAATGAACACTATTACTATTACAACAAAGATTATTCTCTATACTTACCTTCATTAGTAATTGTTTTAATGAAAAAAGCCTAAAAGCCTCCACATTCATCTTAGGAGGCTGGTGTATGTAGATGGATTAAGGGCCTGGTACAGAAGGCAGTTCTCCTTAAAATGGCATATGTGTATCGTGAGGAGGTTACTGTCTCGCGAGCCCTAAATACTTGGAGCTTGGACCATGCTCCCGCTACTGGTCGGCTTCTATTTTAATATTTTTTAATATTATTTTTTTTATTTTGTAAGTAGTATTTAAAAATGTAATTTCAGAGAATTTTAATTAAATATAAGGAATTTTAATTACTCATTTGCATCTTTTATTTATTCAACTGGAAATTAAATGCACTCACATCTTAATTACTTGTTATTTATTTAACTAATACTATTTGTTTTGCTTGACAAGACATTTATTTAATAATTGTTTATATCATATACCTACAACACATAATACCTAATGTTTATATTGTGTGTTTTAGAAGGTTTCTTACAATACATTATGGTAATTAAAGTAGTACTCACAACAAGGAATGTCTGGCGAGTTCATGAGGCATCATCTTGGCATAATCAGTGAAGGATACCAGGAAAGGAGTCCGTACTCCGTCCACAAGCACCACATTCTTGCCTGTGCGGTCCGGCAGAGACTTCTTCTTCTGGTGTAAAGCTGCTCCTACACTGAGAGCCCTCCTTGCAGTGTCTACAACGACAATAAACACTAATTAGCAAAATAAAAACACCAAATCGAAATCCTTCATGAATTCATCTAGTAACAAACTAAGAATAGATTTCGATCTTCCAGAATGCATGCAACATGAACCTTGCACTAATATTTTGGCAGGGAACTGAACGAAATTAATTGCCACCTATGCCAACAAAATAATTCTCGCAAAAGTCCAAAGTTTACCTCCATATAAGTATTACGAAAACATACAAAATAATCCATATAAATCATGTTATTTCAACTCACTTGTCATGAAATGACCTAAATATTACTTTAAACAACATAATAAATCACGTAAGATTTAGAAAAATATAAGAGTACTAGAAAACCTACCGAATTTAGCCGTAGAGCTAACGTGGGAGACTTTCAATAAAGTTTTTGATATTTGAGATGCCATGGCTGCCGGAAAATTAATACCGATTATCACTGGACACGACGGAGACTACTAAAACAATTAATGTAAATTAAAAACTAGTGTAAATTCTAATTTAAACTTCTAATAAACTTAAAAGAAAGTTGGACTCTGACCTGTCAACCGCACAGAGTAAAAAACAGGGTTGCACAGTTCAATATAATATCACGCATCTTTTTCGAGTATGATTTTTATGTTATTTCTACTGTGTTAGTTTTACTTACATTAATGTATTTTGTACATTTAATAGACATTTCAGTGTATGGTTTGATTGTCGAAGTTAGTATTTTGTTTCATAATTGTAGTGATTTCAGCATTTTTATTGTATCTTTATTCACCCCTAATTTTAGTACTGATTAATTGTTGGCAATAATTTAGATGAGTTTTCAATTTTACGTTTCGTTTATACCAGTTTTTTTATTTTGATTGTACAAATTATTTCTATTTTTCTCTAATAAATATTTATTAAGTTTATCATTATACATCGATATTTATTAGTTCAGATTTATATAATGACAATGGAAGTAAATATGTTCACAAGATTTAATCTTGTGAAGATCTTAATAACGTTTAGTTACTTTGGTTCGATCAGGTGGATGTGGGTAGCTGGAAATATTTTTTTTACAGATTTTTCAACTTTCTCGATTTCCTTTCTGTTGCTCTTCCGCCGTGCCAGCAGCCACGTGTATTTATTCAAATAATTTATTAATTTAACCAATCCAATTAATTATAATTATTATACATAAATTAATTATTGATCAATAATTATTTTACTTTTTAAGTATCAATGAAGGAAATATAGTAACAAGTGAGTTTGACATCGATTAATTTAATACGAAACTTTACAAACTAACAGTTTCCAGGCACATTTTAAAGCGATTATCTTTTGAATTGGCAAATTAATCTCGTTTCTCTTTTGCAGAATGAAGTATCAAGGCTTGCTATTGATAGTTAGTGTGGCGTGGTGTTCAGCTCAGCTCAGCGATGACATGCAGATGTTTGACCCGGAATGCATGACGGAAGACAAGTTCCCCTGCATGGGTGGAGGATGTATTTCAGTGTCACAGTACTGCGATGGAAAATTGGACTGTGATGATGGCAGCGACGAGAATTTTTGCAGTAAGTTTTTTCTATCTACCTAACAATGAAATTTCATATTTGACAATAAAGATACGAGATACCTACTTTGTACGAGGTTTAAAGTTGGGGACCTCGGTTTGGTCAAAATATCTCTCGATTTTTTATGTTGTTTAGTAATTACATGGTATTTGAAACTGCACATAAAGTTTTTCACGCCCCTGTTAAAATAAAATTTGAATTATAACGGGCGAAAAATGGCTGCCGTAGGTAACGACTTTTATGTGCCTATCGCAAAGAGTATAATGGGTAGCCTATCCTTTCGCAGCCGTCATCCGCGCGCTCCAGCTAGATTAGGTCGATAACCACAAGGTGCTAGGTGTCTGAAAGGTGCAAAAAATACAAACAGGCTGATGATAACCAATGACCTGTGTAATTTCGAATTTTTAATCCACGGCCGACGCTCTGATTGATTGGTTCATTGGAGCCGGCCAATCAGAGCGTCGAACGTGTACTCGTACCCTCTGGCTAATTATGACCAATGATGTACTTTTTTTTCTTTTCAACAGTCGAACACAAGCCGTTCCAGGAGTTTTGTAACGAGACCCACCAGTACATGTGTCGGGACTCCACGAAGTGTGTTCCTTTATCCTGGCTGTGCAACAATGAGCCGGACTGCGATGATGGCAGCGATGAGTTCAACTGCACCGCACTGCCGGCTGTAAACGTCAATGTAAGTTCTAATAAATTGTAAATATACGACTGAAAAAGGAATCTCGGATTTTCGTCAGCATCAGAGTTAGAAGGCAATTCATTAAAATTAACGGATTTTTAATACGGTACTTGCCAACTAGTCAAATTCAATACTTTTTTCGATCTGTCAAAAACGACAGTTTTCTATGAATTTTGTACGAGATTGAGTATTGTGACGTCACGTTTTTTAAGCGTCAAACGCCATACTTATTTCTTAAAAATTACTGGAAATATACTAGAATTAAGGTGGTCATAAAATCAATTAATGAAAGTGTGATTATTTTTTAATATTCTATTGTATTAAACAGCCGAAATTATTTATTTTTAATTGAGGAAAGTATCCAATTATTAGTATTAGGAAATTATTTACTATAATGTTAAAAGTGCACGTTCCTACTGTCACCTGCCTGCTTCCTGCCACCTCACGCCTGTCTCCTATGGGGGTAGGCAGAGAGAGATTATGTAACACCAATTGCTACAATTCTTCATGCCTCTTTCGCTTCATCAACAGTCCCCAGTCTTTTCATGCATGCACGTCGCCAATCTGGTCGATATATAAACGTCTAAAACACTTATAGACATGTTACCTAATATTATTCCCTTTTTTGTCGTTTAGTCGACATGCAAAGGCTTCCAATGTGGAGACGGCAAATGCATCTCCTTCCTGTGGGTGTGTGACGGTGTCTACGACTGTGAAGATAAAAGCGATGAGTATGCTGAGGAACTCTGCAGTAAGTCATATTTACGAACATAGTCGATCCCAGCCTACCCCCGTCGTATGATGGTAAAGGATTACCATAGCCTAACGTACACTGGCAACACCAGAGGCATGCGTTGCCAACCATGGAGGAATTTCATAACATCATAACATCACACCTTTTATCCTCGAAGTGGTAGGCAAAGGTGCACATTACGGCACTTAATGCCACTCTACAATGTAACACCCACTTTTCACTATTTATGAGTCTCATGTAAAGGGGGTGAGCCTATTGCCATTTACCGGGCACAATTCCAGACTCCGTGCTACTACTGAGAATTTATAAAAAAACACCGGAGGAGAAGGAATTTCATTTCTAGACATTCAATCTGAAATCGCTGTTCTTTTTCCACTACACTTAAGTTCTTATGTAGCTATTTAAAGCCACCTAGCCAGGAAGAAATAAACACTTGCATTAGCCTCTGCTTTGCCTGTATATGACTCACAATAGAAATGAAAGTAAGAAAAATAATTTATTCACCATATTGTATTTCGCGTAGAACTGCACTCGATACTACGGGTTAAAAACGTTTTATTTTTATCCTCTTAGGGCACGTATCCCGTCCCCACGCGATCGTCGACGGTTCATACTGTCAGGAATTGCACACAATGGACGACCGTAACTACAAGTGTCTGGACGCCTCCTTCTGCCTGCCCAGCAGTATGATGTGCGACGGACTCCAGGATTGCCGCGATGGCAGCGATGAGGGACCATTTTGCAAAAACTGTAAGTGTGTTTTCAAGTTCTTGTTTAGTATTTCATTACAACTCTCAATTAAAAGTCACATTATTAAGATTTAGAAGAATAGAAGGAGCCGATTATCAGGTTCATGCAGTATCTTTCAGAAATTAAAAGTTGTGGTATTTGTAGTCAGGCACTTATGTTAAAAACCTCCTTTGTAGCGCGATAAGAAAAATTGTGGTAACTAACGTAGTAAATTCGCATTCGCGCTAAAATTCAAAATTGGAAGCCCCGCTCACGCCAACAGTCGCCGCCGAAACGTTGAGTGAGTGAGCGTGTACGACAAAGAGTATAATAAGTATATAGTATAATATATATATAATAGTGTACGAAGACGATCCGCGTTCACGCCAATTTTCTGGGTTTTTGAATTCGTTGTGGAAACATCTAGCCTAGCCTAATCTGTTACAGGTATTACTTAAGTTAAACGTTCATTTTAGTTTTGGATGGGTAATGGAATTCACACACTTTTTTACCCTTTGGTACTTTTTTCCGACTATTTTATCTACCTCTACCTGCATCTACCACGAAGGTCCTCGGATATTTAAAGACGTGTCGTTTATTGGCCGGTTTCAATAACCTATATAGTTATCTGTAGATTTGCTTACTATATAGAGATAGAATTTTGACACAAGCTCCATACAAAATGTGTCAAAATTCTATCTCTATTACGAAAATGAAGATAGATAGGTTATTGAAACTGGCCGTAAATGAAACAACAACTTAACTCGTCGAGTACCGTCATTGTAGACACAATTATAGAACAATAGGTTGCGGTCATCGGTGACCGCGCGGTGTTTGACAGTTAATCTAACAATAAAACGATCGATCAAACTGAACACATTTCTTTTTTAATAGGGAATACAATGTGCGACAACTTCAAATGCATGGGTAACGACACGATATGTTCCCCGGAGAGGTTTGGAGCCTCCTGCCTCTGCCTGCCCTCCCACTTCATGCGGCAATACGATTACATCACCAAACAGTGCCAGGATGTCAACGAGTGCCTCATGGAACACCCACCCTGCTCCCATAAATGCATTAACGCCGATGGCCATTATATTTGTGAATGCGATCCTGGATACAAACGGGATGTGTATGGATATCTTTGTTATGCTACTGGTGAGTACCGTTCGCCCAAATACAGAAAGGCTATTAAATTTGAAGTTGTACCTACTTAAATATCGCACCATTTCTGTCATTGGACAAAGAATTTGTAGTGACAGAACTATACTTAAGCGCGACTTAAAATTGAGTAGCCTTTCAGTATTTGAATATGTGTAATGTATTTCTTAAAATTTGTCTTAAGACGTAATATATTTTTCACAACTTCTCCGTGAGCGTAAGAGTCGATTAACCTCTAGAATTTCTATTCAAGAATAGAATAGAATGTCATTTATTTCCAAGTATATGGTACATTGAGGTTTTACATTAAATATTGTTTCACATACACTACCATTGCTGGTGTAGAAATATTATGTTAATTAGTAACCATTTTTATAAAAAAAAAATTAAAAAATCTGGTAATTACAATAATGCCAAGTAAATTGAATCACAAATTATTGGTACGTGACAGTAAATAGAAGTAACAATGTTATTTCCATCAAAATGTTAAAATCTTATACTATTATATACTTAAAACGGAAGAGTTTGTTTTTTTGTTTGTTTGTTTGAACGCGCTAATCTCCGTAACTACGAGTCTGATTTATATAATTCTTTTTGTGTTGGATAGCACATTTATCGAGGATGGCTATAGGCTAAAAAACATCACGCTACGAACAATAGGAGCTGAGCAGAGCGTGTGAAACC